CAATTTTTAAATTCAAGTACTAAATAAAATAAACAGTATTAAAAATTAATAATTTTCCATTTTTTTACTGACCTAAATAGCTTAATTTACTTACCTTATTATTTCTTAAAAATATACTTGAGATCCGCATTCGCATCCGCATCCGCGGATGTTAGTTGTTAGACATCCGGATCCGCATTCGCATCCGCAGATGTCTAAAATTTCACATTCGCAACATCCCTAGTTTAAACAACGATCTTGCCATGATACTATATTGTGAAGATGAAAGTCAGGAGAATACATACGACATTTGCAGACCGATGCAATTCCCAAAAAATAATTATTGCACCGCAATAAAAAATAAATAAAGAAATATAACTGAAAGTCCTCTCGACTGGTGCAGCGTCAATCGAAAAGAATTTACAATTTTGTCAAGTTTCAAGTTTTTCAAGATTTTTGCAGCGAGCTAGTAGTTATTTAGTGAGGCAGGTTTGATTTACGACCCTTTAAAAACTTTTTATTGAATACAATGTTCCAATTTTTAAATTCAAGTACTAAAAAAAATATTATAAAAAGGTGGTCATAATTTTAGTCAGATTTCAATAACTTTCAACGTTTTGCCTTTATGAGGCAACCACAATAATCTTACCGAGTTTGGTACAAATTGGTAGAACGGTTACCGAGATACATATATGTGGTCTTAAGTGGGCGGGGTCACGCCCAATCTCCAACATTTTATTATAAGCATACCTTTTGCTAAACAATTATTGCAAACATCAATTTTGAATAAATTAGCTTCAGTATTTACTGATTTATCGAAGCTTTCGTATTTCTCGAAATTACCGCTATGCGGGATGCGGGCGTGGTTATTATCCGATTTTTTAAATTTTCAGTCGTCTGATATGTTTTGTGAAGGCCAACAACTGTGCCAAGTTTGGGAGAAATCGGTGGAGCGGTTCCCAATATATACACATGTAATCATATGTGGGCGTGCCTACGCTCATTTTCCAAAAATTTATAATATTCTTATTTTTCGTTTAAAAATGATTGTACATATAAATTTTGAGTGAGTAAGCTTCAGAAGTTACTAAAATATCGCAGTTTTCGTATTTCTGAAAACTACCGTTATAAGGGAGGTAAGCGTGGTTATCGTCCGATTTTGCCCATTTTCAACACCATCCGTCCTGCGCTCAAAAGAAGTATACATACCAAGTTTGGTTAAGATATCTCAATTTTTACTCGAAATATCGTGTGCACATGCGATTACTCTTTTCATTCTGATCATTTATGTATACATTTGTCTATATCTATCTCGATTCGTTTTGCCTGTTACAAACAGCCGTTATGTGAACAAAGTTATAATACCCTTGCGTACAAGTGCGCTCGGGTATAAAAATATTTGACATCCGCATCCGCATTCGCATCTGCGGATGTCTAAAATTCCACATTCGCAACATCCCTGGTCTGGACCTGTTCGTATGAGAGTTTGCAGAATTACCATCGCAAGCGTTGCTCTGCAATGCAGCCGGACGCCCAATTTCATATATGTACATACACACATAAGTAAATATTTCTATTTTATACGAGTATACTATGGCTGCGTTTCTTTATACATTCCGGATAATCTCATTTCACAGCCAGAATAAACAGATGTGTTTGAAATATACGTTAACATATCATAAGGAACGTTCTAAGGAATAAGTAAACAAAAAAGTTTATTCCAAACGTTCAGAATGAATAAAGAAATTCAGCCTAAATGTTAAATGTGCGATACGCTGCGTTTGTGTGCTTAGTGGTTGTTAGCTGGCAGCTAGCTAATAGCCCATGTCCACATTCGCATTCGCAAAACATTCGTATCATTTGATGCGAATGCGAATGTTCAAAATGATGCGAATCATTTGCATAACGAATGCGAATGCAAATATTCGCAACATCCCTGATACATATATACCAATCGAAAGCATATATAATGTGTTAAACAGATGAGTGAAAATTACTAATATTAGCTACCTGTTCATACCTGCCAACCCGGTAGGTAGGCCAGGAAAAAAATAGACAATCCAACGTTTTCACGTTTTATAGGCTTAATAATTTCGATTGGTATATAATTTGTTCATTAAACAAATGAGTACAGAATTAAAAAAATAAAAATAATTTTTGAATATTTAATTAAAAATATCCTGACCAGGATTTTTTCAGCCACCCCAATAGCAAAATATTTATTAACACGTTAAATTTTATATAAAAAAGATTTCATTCATTAAACAGATGGGTGCAGGTCGTGCCTTTGCCGGATCTTAGACTAGTAGGTCTTGCTATTTGAGAGATAGGGGCAAACGAGAATTTCATGAAAAGTTAGTGACCCCCGCTGGTGGGAGCTAGGGTAACGCCGCACAGTGTAAGATTTGACCCATCTAGCTGCTTTTAATTCTGTAATTCGAAAACTATTGAAGATAGATTAATGAAATTTTGCACAGGGTACGTTATAAGATAGGCGAAGCTTTTTACAAAAAATTGGTAATTTATAGTTACTGTCACGCCACCCTATTATATAACTGCAATTTTAAAAAATGCAAAAACTGAAATATTTAACTAATTACAACGCTAAAATGCCTAAAATTTATATTTAGAATTTCCCTATAACAGGACTGACAAACTGACAGAAATGGACTTAAAAATAAATATATTTTTTTTTTAAGTATGGGCGTGGAAAGTATCGAAAAAAAAGTCAAGTTGGGTCAACATAATTCCGTTATAAGTTCAATATT